TGCATGTATTGCCTGCATGTATGTAAGTGCACCTGTGTCGTGCAGTGCCCAAGAAGGAGAGAAGAGGCTGCTGGATCCCCTGGGACTGGAGTTATGGACAGTTTTAGCTGCCATATAGGTGCTGGGATTCAAACCCCAGTCTTCTGCAAGAACAACCAGTGTTCTTAACCACTGAGCCATTTCTCCAGCCCCCATAAGATTTTTTTTTTTTTTGGGTCTTTTTTGAGACAGGGTTTCCCTGTAGCTCCAGCTACAGGGAACTCACTATGTAGACCAGGCTGGCCTTGAACTCACAGAGATCCACCTGCCTCTGCCTCCTGAGTGCTGGGATTAAAGGCGTGCATCACCACGCCTGGCTCTGAGATGTTTCAGTGGGTAAAGGTGCTTCCTGCCAAGGCTGACCTCCTGAACTCAGTTCCTAGGACCCACATGGTTAAGGAGAGAACTGACTCCTGCAAGTTGTCCTCTCATCTCCACACACATGCTATAACATGCATACACACAAACACCCTCACACATACACATAAATAAATAAATGTAATAAAAAGGGTAATCAAAGCAACTCAAGTTAAACTCAGTGGATCACAAAGAAAATAGGGGAAATCATTTGGCAGGGGAGGGAGAGAGGAATAAGAGGGTTATGAGGATGGGTGAAAACTGACCACATTCACCATATACATGTATGAAGTTGCCAAAGAATAATACATTTTTAAAATTCTTAAACACAAGGATTCGAGCTGGACATGGTGGTTCACACCTATGATCCCAGTATTGGGGAAGCTGAGGCAGGAAGAATACCAGGAGTTCCAGGGCAGCCTGAGCTACAGTGTGAGACCCACATTTTAAAAATTAATGATAAACCAGGCGTGGTAGCACATGCCTTTAATCCCAGCAGTGGGAGGCAGAGGCAGGTGGAGCTCTGTGAGTTCAAGGCCAGCCTGGTCTACATAGTGAGTTCCAGGGCAGCTGGGGCTACAAGGAGACCCTGTCTCAAGAATGACAAAAAAAAAATCAATGATAATTTTTGGGGAGGGGTATCTGTTTGAAACATGGCCACGCAGAGGTGGGTCTGGGGAGAGGAAGGTCCTGGAGACTTCAGCAATAAAAGCATGTACCTTGTGACCTCTCACCTCAGAGCCTCAGTGATATCTTCTAGCCTGAAGTTATCAGCTCCCTCTAGAGGTTTCTGTAGATACCCATACTGCAACAGGTAATCCTATAATGACATAGAGGTCGAAAGAGGGTAAGTCTTAAGGTAAGGCTTCCAAGTGAGTTAACAGGACCATCAGGGGAGAGGGAAGCAGATATGGAAGGACTGAAAGCGAACTGACTGAAAGAAGGGCCTCAGGTGGAAGAAGGAAAGAGTACAGGGTGGGCAGGGTAGACATTGAGTAAAGAAGGGAAAGGCAGGAAGGTTGAAGGGCGGAGAGAGGCTTAGATGGCATGAGAGCCCCTGTCATTCCCATGGCCTGGGCCCTTCTTGCTCAGGGGACTCACCATGACTGCCTCCTTCTCTTCACGTCTCAGAACCCGGCCTGAGACTGTCATGGGAAGAAAGAAGCCCAACCACAGATACTGCCAGTTCATGGTCCCACCAGGCAGGAGCTCCAGAGGCTGGCTGTGCCCTCTGACCTGAGGCTTCTGGGACTCTGGAGGAGCAGGGCTGGACAGGGAGCTCTTACCTCCAGGTCTTTCCAATGTCAGCCTCTGGTCCTCTTTATAAACCTTCAACAGAGGAGAATGGGAGGTGACTCAGCCCAGAGATATGTTGCAACTCACTATTAACTCCTGCCCTTCCAAAGAGCAGAAGCCAAAAAAGCCCCTCTCCCCCAGAGCCCTCTGCTGGAAACCAGAAGACTTTCTGTACTGGCCTGGAGTAAACCTTCTGACCTTCTGGGAGACAGGCCAGCCATAGCACCAGAGCTGCCTCCTAGAGATGACAGTTCTGCCCTCCAGGGACCGAGGGCAGCAGATCCCTCCCCTTCACATATTCACTTGACTAGGACAAATGAGTACTAGGAAAGAGGTAGGAGAGAGCAGAAGCAGCATGGCTTTCAAGACAAGGGGTCAAGTTGGGAATTTATTTATTTTGAGGCAGAATCTAGCTTTATAGCCCACGCTGGTCTCGAACTCTTACATAAAGGCTTCTTAAACTTTTTTCTATTTGGGACCCTTTTTGCCGGAGAAAATTTTTTCTACCACTTTTTGCTCTTGCAAGGGACCTGAGTTCTGTTCCCAGGACTCACACCACACTCTCAGGCACTCACATACACATGTGGCACACACACACACACACACACACACACACACACACACACACGAATTAAAAAAAAAATACGAAAGGGCCAAGTATGGTGATGCATGCCTTTAACCCCAGCACCTGGGAGGCATAGACAGGATAATTTCTGTGAGTTCAAGGCCAGCCTTGTCTATATAGAGAGTTCCAGGCCAGCCAGAGCTACATAGAGAGACCCTGTCTCAAAAAAATAAAATAAAATATTGGGCTGGAGAGATGGCTCAGCAGTTAAGAGCACTGACTGCTCTTGCAGAAGATCCAGGTTCAATTCCCAGCACCCACATGGCAGCTACAAACCATCCTTAACTCCAGTTCCAGGGGAATCCAAAGCCCTCTTCTCATCTCTGAGGTATTGCATGACACGGGTGTACTCACATACACACAGGCAATACACTCATACACATAAAATAAAAATAAGAAATAAAATATTTTAAAATAAAATTAAAAAGGTAGAGTGTCAGCAAGATGGCTCAGTGAGTAAAGGTGTTTACTGACAAACCTACCACATGAAGTTCAAGTCCCAGGATCCACAAGGTGAAAGGAGAGAACTGATTCCTGCAAACTGTCCTCTAACTTTCACATATGTACCGTAGCATGTACACTACACCCCTACACAAGCACTCATATAAAATAAATAAACTATAAGGGCTAGAGAGATGGCTCAGAGGTTAAGAACACTGACTGTTCTTGCAGAAGACCGAGGTTCAAATCCTAGCACCCAAATGGCAGTTAACAACTGTCCATAACTCCAGTTCCAGGGGATCCGATGCCCTCTTCTGACATGGGTGCACTTATATACATGCAGGCATAACACTCATACACATAAAAAAATAAAATAAATTAAAAAAATAAAATATAAGTAGAAAAAAAAAGGTAGAACTGGGTGTGGTGACACACGCCTTTAATCTTGGCACTCAGGAAGCAGAGGCGGGTGGATCTCTGTGAGATTGAGGCCAATTTAGTTTCCATAATGAGCTCCAGGCTAGCTGGGGCTACAGGGAGATCCTGTCTCAAAAAGCACAAAACAACAATAAAAAATACTAATAAAGGTGGAGCTTGACACCCATATCAATCTCTGGCTTCCACAAATGCATGCACACACACACACACACACATATATACGAATGGTCCTAATGAAAAAAAATTTTTTGGTCTTTTTGAGACAGGGTCTCCCTGTGGCCTCAGCTTGCCTGAAACTCACTATATAGACCAGTCTGGCCTTGATCTCGCAGAGATCCACCTATATCTGCTTCCTGAGTGCTGGGAGTAAAGGTGTATGCCACCACACCCAGCTCTAATGAAAACTTTTACAAAAAGAATTAAATCTTGGCTGAATATTTGATACTACAAGAGGAAGAGCATCTTCAGTCATCTTCAGAGTTGATGGATTTTCTTTTTATGTGTTTTTAAATTTTATGTATTATTTATAATTATTTTATGTGTCTAAGTGTTTTGCTTGCTTGTATGTAAGTACACCAATGCCTTCAGAGGCCAGAGGAGGGCATCAGAACCCCTGGAACTGGAGTTACAGTCTGTTGTTAGCTGCCACATGGGTACTAGACATGGAACCCAGGTCCTCGGCAAGATTAACTGTGGTCTTCACCACTGAGCCATCTCTCCAGCCCCCTCTTTATGTTGTTTTTGTTTTGCTTTTGTTTGTTTATTTGCTTTTGAAACAGGCAGGGTCTCAGGAACCTCAGACTAACTTTGAACTCACTATGTATGTGAGGATGACCTTGAACTCCTGCTCCTCCTGCCTCTACTTCCCAAAAGCTGGTACTACAAGATTCACCACCACACCAGTTTATGGGTGCTAGGGATTGAACCCAGGACTTAATGCATGCTAGGTAAGCACTCTACTAACTAAGCCACAGCCAACCCTTTGATCAATATTTTGACTTTATAATGGCCAATATTGAGAATACCACTTTGCATAACATAGTACAAAATGACAAAATATGTTTAAAGTCCTTTCAGAAATTTTTAGAAATTCTGTCCTAATCCTATAATGACTGGAGCAACTCCATTTTGTACAAAGTTAATCACCTTAGACTTAAAATCAGAAAGGCAGCTAACTCAAGGTCTGAACTTAGTTCCAGTAACTCACTTTCCCCCAGAAGTTCGTTTGTTTGTTTTCAGAAACAGCTGACCACAGAAAGGAATATTGCCGCCCATACATTGCAGCTATGTTTCTTGCCCACCCAAGGGAAAATAGCCTAAACAAATCCTGTCTTCCTTGGTAATACGCTAAAATAACAAGAATCAGAAAGCCCCTACTGTCTCTATACATCAGTTAAGAAAATGACTAACAACTCTTGTCTGGGCTTCTGTAAACTTGCTTATTGCTGCATTTAAGGGACAGTGTGACCTCACTGTCCTTGCAACTGCCAATACCACAGGAATGAAGCAGCTTGTGGTTTTTGCCTTTAAAAAACTCCTTTCTCTCACCACTTTACTGCAGTCCCTTATCTGGCCTCTGGAGAAGGTCAGTCTTGCAACAGCAAATAAATTTGGCTAATTAAAATCTGAATTGGGCCAGGCATGGTGGCGTACACCTTTAGTCCCAGCACTTGAGAGGCAGAAGCAGGCGGATCTCTGTGAGTTCAAGGCCAGCCTGGTCTACATAGTGAGTTCCAGGACAGCTGGGGCTACAGGGAGACCCTGTTTCAAAAAAAAAATCTTAATTGGATGCCGGGTGTGGTGGCTCATGCCTTTAATCCCAGCACTCGGGAGGCAAAGGCAGCCATATCTCTGAATTCAAGGCCAGCCTGGTCTACACAGCAAGTTCAGGCCAGGTGGGGCTACAGGGAAACCCTGTCTCAAAAAGACAAAAAAAAAAATTTTTAATAAAATATGAATTGGGTCTGGTGGTCTTTTCCCAGTGGTCTCAAACTCTGTAACAATCCCAAGCCAAAATTTAATCGACTTAATTAAACGCATTAGAAAAACAAACAGCAACTTTTATCTCAATTTAGTACTTTTAAATTTAATTAATTCTTTTTTGTTTGTTTGTTTGAGACAAGGTCTGGCTGGCCTGAAACTCACTATGTAGACCAGACTGGATTCAAAACTCACAGAGATCCACCTGTCTCTGCCTCTCTCATGGTGCTGAGACTAAAGGCATATGTTATTATGCCTGGATAGCTTTTGTTTTTTGAGACAGCATTTCATGTAGCCCAGACCGGCTTGGAACTTACTGTATAGCCCAAGCTGACCTTGAACCCCTGATTCTCCTGCCTCTACTTACAGACATGTGCATCATTCCTAAGCCTCAAACAGCAACTTTTAGAATATTTTATTTATTATTTTTATCTGTATGAGTGTGTCACCTGCATATATGTAAGTGCACCTGTGTCATGCAATCCCCTCAGGGGTCAGAAGAGGGTGTCGGATCCCTGGAACTAAAGTTACAGACAGTTGTTAGCCACCATGTAAGTGCTGGAAATTGAATCTGGGTCCTCTGGAAGAATATCAAGTGTTGTTAACCACTAAGACATCTCTCCAACCCCAGCAAACAGCAACTTTTAAAATAAAGCATTCTAAAAATACAATCCAAAGACATACTTATTTCATTCATGCTAAGGAATGATAATAGAAAAATATTAGAAGTCTTTGCTTTCCGTAATTAAACCACTATGTTTCTATAAGAGCAGAGATTTCGTAGGAATGATCAAAGCACTGCAATTCATAACATAATAATCTCAAGTCTGAGGTGAGCTGTTTGAGGCAACATTCACTGGCACCATTACTGGCACTGTATGGTTTGATGGCATGCACAGTGAAAAGTGCATGTTGTGTGTTCAGAACCAAGGCTACAGTGAAGTCTCACAAAGCAGCATCAGCGAGTACTGCCAGAGCACTTCAGATTCATTGCACATTTGATTTTGACTCAAGGTTAGGTCATTGCAGGCACCAAGCATGCATGTAGCATACATATATACAGCAGGCAAATACTCATACATAGAAAATAAAAACAATAAATCTGTCCTCTAGGGACTGAAGAGATGGCTCAGCAGTCAGAAGCACTCGTGCTCTTACAGAGGACCCAGGTTTGATTCCCAGCACCCACATGGCGGCTAACAAGTGCTCATGACTCCAGTTCCAGCGGATCCAGCACCCTCTTCTGACCTCCATGGTCAATGCCCAACATGGGTGCACTTACATACATGCAGGCAATACACTCATACACATAAAATAAAATAATGAACAAAATATTTTTTTTAATCTGTGTTG